GGGCGGGAGAAGCCTCAGAGGGGATCTGAGCAGTGCTGAGCAAGAGCTAAAGGGCCCCGGGGGGCAAGAGGCTGGGGCCAGACTCTGCTCAGTGGTGCCAGGGACAGGACAAGGGGCAACAGGCACCAACTGGAACCCAGGAGGTGCCACCTGAGCAGGAGGAGAAACTTCTTTGGGGTGAGGGTGCAGAGCCTGGAGCAGCTGCCCAGAGAGGCTGTGGAGTCTCCTGCTCTGGAGAGATCCCAAACCCTCCTGGCTGTGACCCTGGGCACCCTGCTGGGGGTGAGCTGCTGGAGCAGGGGGGGTTGGATGAGATGATCCCCAGAGGTCCCTTCCAGCCCCTCCATGCTGTAAATGTTGTCACAGGACACACACAGTGCTGGACTGAAGGAAAGGACACCCTCCCAGACGAGCCACTCCACCAGGAAACACTCTCCCCATTCAAAGCCAGAGGTGAAGATCCTTGTCTGCAGGTCCTGGTGGAAGAGTCATGTCCATACCTGCTCATAACCCCCCTGAGCCCCAGCAGACCCAGCCCAGGCAGCTCCCACTGCTTTGGTTTAGCTCCCAGCCCAGCTCCCCAGCTGCCAGGCGAGGTGTAGGAGGGAGGCTCAGTGTAGCAGGTTCCTTCAGGGGAAGCAGCAGATGGTGACACCTCTCTGATTTCCAAAAAAAGCTGAAAGGGATCCCATTGCTGGCTCCTCTCCCAACCCCAAGAGGATCTTCTGCCCTTTCAAAAGGAAATCATTCATAAGCAAGGAGCAATTCCACAAGCATAAGGAGCTGTCTCTCTCTCACAGCAAGCTCTGTAAAATCTCTTTTCAAGAAGGAAAAAAATGCACTGAGCTCTTGCAGGCTCTGGAAAATGGCTGAGTTGAGAAGCAAGACAAGGCTGAGAAATCAAACCCTTTAGTTTTTGAAGACTTGTGAGGAGATGAGAAAAAGGCAACCTCTGGGTGAGTGTTTTCCCAACCCACCCAGCTGGCAAAGCCCAGGTGGCCTCATGCCAGTGTCCTCACATCCACAGGATGGTGCCAGCCACCCACTGACAACATCCCTGTGAGGTAACCAAAGCCCCAAACCCCAGCAGCAGTCAGGAATGTTGCTGTTCAGGAAGGTGGAGGTTGACACAAACACTGACCTTAGGGGTTAAAAAATGTATTACATGATCAGTGCTGTGCTGCAGCCCCCTTGGGAAGCTTGGCCATTAACCAGCACCCACCCAGGGGAACTCAGTTTGAAGTCTGTTCACTTCTTTTCCCTGTTTCTGTTTAAAAAAAGCAGCTTGGGAATGAGGAGAGAGGGAAATTTTTTTTGGGTGGGGAAAGAAAGTGCCAACACCTACTGCTGACTGTTTTAATGAAAACCCACCAGGGCTGTGACATTTCCCATTGAAGTGGCAAATGTCCCATGTCTGGACAAACTTCTTCTGCCAAGGGCTCTCTGGGTGTGAGCTGAGGACAGAGGTCAGCCCAGAGAGAGCTCTGAGGAGAACAGACCCCTTGTCTCCACAGAAACATAGAGGGTTAAGCTGCAGCACACTAAGTCTGCTCAGACAGAGCAAAGCTCTTCTCAGAGCTCATCTGAATCCCCCTCCCCGACCTCTCACTCCTTTAAAGACAAATTTTTAGTGACTGGAGTCCATTTCTGAAGCCACTTGGTCTGTTGTCTGCTCACTGGAAAGGCACAGCCATACCCAGCCTGCTCCCTCCACGTTCTCCTTCCATCTCCTCCCCTCCAGGGCTGGCTGCACTGCTCTGTACAGGCTCTGCAACTTCCTACTTCATTTCTTCATACTCTTTTGAAGGATCCAAGGTTGGGCCAGGAATCATCACCGTCTGCAAAAGCAAGGAACAAAGTTGGCAGGGCACAGAACACCCTGAAGGGCTGCACCAGGGATTACAGGGCAGGAGTTTTGGGCAATGCCAAGGCCTCAGACAGGACCACGACCAGATGGCAGCATGGGAGAGGACATGGCTTGTTCTACCCCACAGATCTCACCCCCTGCCCCTCCAGGACCTGTTTTTAGTAACACAGGTAGACAGAGCACCTGCAGCTCCTGGCCAGGCTTGTACAGAAAGCAGTGACCCCCTAAATCATCATACACATGTCAAAGGCCTTCAGTCTCCTACTACAGCTTCTGAGTGCTACAGGCTGATACTGCCATGTTAACAGCTAGGTCTGAAGCACAGAATCCCAGCATGGGGGGGTTGGAAGGGACCTCTGGAGAGCAACTTGTCCAGCCTCCCTGCTCCAGCAGCTCACCCCCAGCAGGGTGCCCAGGGTCACAGCCAGGAGGGTTTGGGATCTCT